TAGTCGGCATCATCAGTGAGCTTTGCCATTCTACGCACCAAGATACGAACTCGTCAAAGAGACAAGTGAAATCAATCCCTCGACAAATGCACTACTTATGCAACATAGAGTTCCACTTATAGACTCGCAACGAATTTACTATGAATATGACTTATTTCAGACTGAATTCCATTACTGAAGGGCCTAGATTTCCATGAAATGCACTTATGCCCTGTGACCTAGGGGACATTCGTGGCAGTATGGTGTAGAGGTTAACATGCCAAAACTATACACTTCACTATTAAAAATCAGTTTAAAATCCCACTGAGAGTACTGATGCGAAGTCGAAACTGCATTCTAGCCTGACCTGGATGATAATAGCTTTTGGGAAGCAAGGCTTTGCGAAATTTGATGTAAAAACGAGGCCCACTAATATCGTTGTGAGAAAATTCAATTACCAGTCCTTCATAATCGTAAACAAAATAGGCTGTGCCTGGCTCTTAATCAAACAACGTACTATTAAAGAACGAAACAGGGAAATAGAACACCTGATGGATATTATATAATGAACATTGCGTCAAACTGACTTGAACTTAATTTTAATCAACCTTGTCGGCTGATTCAGATAATGAAATACTTCAGGGACGTAATCTTGGGTATTTAAATGGATATGGATATGGATATTGATGCATCAATTGCCATTGAATATAGTTTGGAGGTAGAGGAAAAGATCACCATTATCATTTGACTGAGGTCCGATCAGTAAGGATGACTTTGTTTCATAATTGTTTAGCCTACTTCCATTTCGAGTGAAAGTCGACTTTATTTCAAGCGTATTGTAATTTGGCTCTTGGTATTATTTTCTCCTGCTATCCTGAATAAGAAACACTTTGAAATGCATGCTTCACTAAGTTTAGGGAATAAATTTAAACTTTTTTTTTATTTTCTCGTAAGTAGTTCAGTTTACTGGCCTTATTCGATCTAAAGGGACACGCAAAGCAATTTTTACTTCAAATTTTGCAAAATATTTAGGAAAAATATACTATGCACCGCTTTGAGTTCTCTATATTGCCTTTTTTGTCTTGCTATTATTTAAATTGTTGGATATTCTATAATTTCTTTTCTTCGTGATGAAAGCTTCTTTATATAGTGAAGCTTCCAATGCTGGCTTGAAATATTCCTGGCTTTCAGTAGATATCGTCGTTCAGTTCATTTTTTTCAGCCAGTGTTGGCATATTATCAAGTGAGGCTATCATTGCCTTGGAGGTCGGTTAATGCCCTCTACTCCTTTACATTCCGTTTTTCAATACTATCTCATAAGTTAACTTCTCTCGTCATATTCTCCCCTATCTTCACGCCTTGAATTATGATGCTGTCCTTTTTCCTCATTTTTGGTCCTTTATTTCCATTTCCTTGTATTCCATTTTGATTTTTCTTACTTCATTTTATACATAGTAATTTATTTTTTAGCTCTTTTTTTAATATTCTTTTCCTATGCTAATATAATTCCATCTAAATCCATCTTTTGTTCTGAGCTACTCATCATTACCTCACACCTTGCTTTTCCTTGCTTTTGCTTTGGTTACCTCAACCTGACACTTTATCCATATCAGTCGAGTCACTCCTGCCGCCAGAATTACCTCGACCTTGCTCTCAGCCGTTCACTGATCTGGACCCATTGACGTGCAACACTAGTGCCGAATCTCTCCCGCCACCACCTTCACCCTCTTTGCTCGAGGCCATGGCATGCCTTGCCTCTGGTCTCGACGATCGCTTTCTCGGGCCTCCATCAGCTGATGCTATTTCTGGAGTCGTTCCCAGCGATGCTAGCCAAACACAAGACCAGTTTATTCTTCGAACAGACGACATGAAACAGCATCATAACGGCTTCTTTGGAGTGAACATTAGCAGCAACTTCGGTTTTAATAGAGGGCCTATTAACGGCAAGCTTGTCCTGCACTCTTGTGGCAGCAACGGCTCCGGTGGATGTGCCAACAATAGAATAAGCAACTGCAGTAGTAGTGGGGGTGGCAGTTTTAGTAGCAGCAGCGGCGAGGCTCTCTTTTTGCCAAACGACCCATTAACCGATCCTGACAAAGGGTCATCTGAAGCAAGTGAACTGCCTCCTGGTGATAGAGTGGAAAGACAATCACGCCCAACTTGACGGAATCGTCTTAACCAAGCTTTCAGTCTTAACTGAATGCTATTTAATTTATTTGCTCCTATACACTTTAGGCCCGCTCGGTAGGCTTTCATTCGTGCCACTTGCACATTATATTTCTCTATGCATCCTAATGCTTGTCTATATGGAGGTGTGCACGCTCAACTATTTTGGCAACGTCTTGCTGTATGCTACAATATCAAGCTCCATTTGCGGGTTAGGATGTTATTATTATAATTATTATATATGAGTAAAGAAACAATGATACTTTTGCATCAGTGTGATTATCCTTCATCTTTCTTTGTTCGATTTCAAACTAAACATTTGCGTCCAAACTATTTTGAAATTTTCTAGGATTTATTCAATGACGATAAACTCAATCGCATTTTCGATAGATAGGCTTCTTATTCATACACATGTACCTTTAATTTTTCATCTGTCCGCTCGACTGTATTCATTCATATTTCTTACTTCCTGTCTGACTTAGTGAATTAGTTTTTTTATTGCTTTGGTATTTATTTGTTTGAGAGAGTTCTTACCCTAGAGTTATCCGCCTTTTTCAAACCTAGCTCCCATTTAATGATTAATTTAACTTTTTTGCTTACCTAACTGAGGTAAGTAACATTTTGCTATGCACTTACTACTCTTATTTTCGACAGACTTTTCGGCATATAGGCTTCTCTTCTGACCCGATACATCGAAATATAAAATGTTTTTCTCGACATGCTTTGTGTTTGCATCACTGGCTTCATCCTTTTCATATTCTAGTATTATACTCGTGATCACTAACATACTTAAACTGTAAACGTTTATAAAACGTTGCAAGCTTTCGTTAATAAATGCATTACCCCTTGACTTTTCATTTAACTCTAATTTCTTTGCTTGGGCAATTTCTGCAATTAGTGTACCCAGAAATATCTCAAGTAGTCTTACAATTCAGCTTTTTTGTGCATTCACTAATTCTTTTATCAGGTAATGTAATTCATCTCAAGAAATTTTTCAAAATGGATTTTAATACGAATTTTGTCTGCCAAAGGGTAAACATTTACTGGCTTGATTTGAAATTATTATTATTTTCAAAACTAAAACTTTTTATTTCTTTTTCTTTGGCTACGTCCAAATTACATTTTACGAACATTGAATCTATGGTACTTGCTCATATTCTTTTCTTCTGCTCGTTTTATCTGACCTCTAGTACTTCCCAAACAACCGGTTCAGCAGTATTGCATTTCTCCCTAATCGAGAAAATTTTTTTATTCCACTGCAAACATTCGTCCTGTAGGGATTTTTTTCAAACACACTGGCTTCCTTGAGGAAAAATATTGAATCCTCTTTTTTAGCGAGTTTTGCCAAGATTTCGACCATAATTTCTCTACTCAAAAATTCTTCTGACCCATCTGATTTCGTCAGCCCGTTTTTCTCAGAATCTTCCCTTTGCTGAACTAACTGGCTCTGAAGCGCCCCCTCACAAATCTTCTTTGTTGCCGACCCCAGTAAACAATTTTGTGATCCTTATGATGCGATTAAACGCAACCATCTTTGCTTCCATGTGCTTGATTCTTTAATGCATAAATTAAATTTACTTAGTGACTAGCTTATTTCTAACCAGATAGTCCCTTTTTTTACATATGTTTAGACAGAGTTCATGGCCTCTAATATAAATTTTGCGTGTGTTAACTTGTCTTAAAGCCCTTCTCTTCTTTACTTTTTAATCACACCTCTTACTAAACTCTTTTACTTGACCTTCAGGCTCTAACGAAATTCGAAGCCATCTATGGATTTATGCGTGCTTTGGAGTCACCCTTTTTTACTCCCTTCCATAATATAGTTGAAAGTCATTCTCTTATACTTTTTTGAAATTGAATCTTATGATGATTACTTAAACTTGAATACTTTCACTAATAAATTCCTACGCTTCTACTACTTTCTCATACCTTTACCTTTTCTGGATGGCTAGATGCTCCAGTATTGATGTAAGGGTCGGAAAAAGCACAGTCACTTA